GATTTGCACGGGCATGGGGCTACAGGAGCTCCTTATTGGACAATTTTATCACGAGACACGCGCGTGCGAGTAAAAACCCGATATATTGAAAAATTCAAAATAAATAATTCAAGTGGCCCTATTCAAACGAAATTTTCTACACAAAAGCGCTTGAATACAAGGAGTATTTTACTTATATTGATATGAGGCGAATACCGAAGAGTTCAAGACATATTCAAGATTCTCTTGATATCAAATTCAAAATGTTTGGCCAAGCGGTGAGTAAAATATACGATTGTTTTGGTTTGTGTAATGTTATGACGGCATTTGACCCTCCGTTCGAAAGGTTATTATTTGAGGATTCCAATGGTGGTTTCGGTTTTAAGGGGGGGGGGGGTGAATACTCGTCGAGATATTTTCATCAGAAGTAATTCAATGAAAAATATCAAATTTATCGCCGGATGATAAAGAGTTAACTGTTAATTGGCTAATATAATGCAAAGTGTACTATGTTTTTTTTATTTTCCCATGCATAAAAAAAGCTACTTAAAATATATTACAATATTTTTAAAATTTTGGGCATTGCTATATATCCAGAATTTTTTGAAAGAGAGTTTAATTAATATCAATCGCCTTAGTTTATGTACACATGGTTCCGTCATTAGTAAAAGTTAATATTATTACCAGTTAAAATTAATATTAATTGAATCACATTAAATTCTCTATATGAGTTAGACAGGGTAAATTAAATAAACAGAAGTTTAATTTTTGATATTATTTTAAAAGTATTAATCTACTTAATAAATCTAATCTGCTGCATTATAATTTTAAAAGTGTATGATTTTTAGGATCACAGAGAAATTATGTCAAACACACACATGTTTGAAGAAAGGATGACAGAACTGTTGGTAGAAACAAGCCCAACTGTGACAGATACATCAGAAGATCCATTTCTCAGCGTTTTTCAAAATGTGTTTGGGCATGAAAATTTCCAAAGTAATCATAGAGGCATTATTGAAGCATCAATGCAAAACAAAGACCTCGCAGTTATGCCAACAGGTAGTGGGAAATCTCTTTATTACTGGATTCCTGGGATTCTGAGCAAAGGTGTAACTGTGGTCATAACTCCTTTAAGAGAGGATGTCCACAAAAATCAAACATAAAGTGGCCACAACTGAAAAATCGATTTTGCTCAAATTTTGCCCAGATATACCTTATTATATCGGAAAATGCACCATATATTTTTTTAGGTCAAATGCTTTTTTAACTTTGAGAAAATGCCGTTTTAACACGACCACCCTAAATCGCCATTTTGTCTGGGAAAATATGCGCTGATTTTACCGAAAAATTTCACGACGACAACCGTTTCTAATCGATCTAAAACCCTAAAAATCTTGTTTTCGGTTATTCAAAGGACCGGGTACGTGACTTACAGGAAATCTGAGTTACTTTTAGGAATAGAAATAATCGTAGTTTTGGAGCACACTATCTTACTTCATTTACGATACCCTCTTAACAAAACCGATTTTCACCATGCGATAAAGCTCCAAATCGATCATGCTTCTACTAGTTGGCTCTTTAATAAGCAAGCTTTCAATTGGCGTAAATACTTCTTTTGGCAAATGAATACGCGATAAACGACAGCGCGTTGAAATCGTCCGTTTTTGACGTCTTGCAAGTCAAACGCTGTTAGGCCTAATTTATACACCGTCGAAGTAAACAATTTAATCAAGTATTCTAAGTATTTTACCTTTTGAGAAAAAACATATTCTTCAATGGGGACTTTTCACTTTGCTAAGTTTAAAAGTGGTCCAGAAATCTCAGTATATTTGTAAAAAAATCATCAAACATCCAGTATTTTGAGACATTGTTGACGGTTGCATGATAACTTCAGATCATTATTGAACGTGATCTACGACCCGCCGACCCGGCCGTTTGACTTTTAATAGCACTAACATATACAAATCGATGAGCTATTTAAGGATTATATTTGCTACTAAATTCCCCAAAAGAATTGGAACTACAACTGCTGTTTTCAGAGGTTTTGATCCATTTTGTCGATATTAATGTACCATTTTATTTATCGACTGATGTTTACAAATACGTAAGTTAATTATTAAGCAGCTGTTAGCGTGCGTGTACATGTGAAATGAACGTTTATAATGTTTATCCATATAAGGAGTTTTTATTTTTAGTTTACCAGCCCTTATATTTGAATAGTCGTTTCCTTTCAAGTTGTTTTCCTTTTTATACTCTGCAAAGTTGATTCCGAAGTGTTAAGGTATCTGAAAAAACTATCGAACTTTTCCATGATATTTACAGAGACGTCACAGCTGTAAACCCCCCTCCCCCACCCTCAAAACGAACATATGACGTTTCTTGTGGAAAAAATCGATATGTGAGGCTTCCCTAAAACTGCAAGGTTTACACTATTGAATTAAAATCCCACAGACCACAACGATTATACGTATTGATTGTTTCTTGACGATAGTAGACGGGTACGTGCATGTTGCGGAAGAGGTTATTTCGCTGGCCTCAGAGTGACAAAAGGTACCCTGGTTCTAGAGGTTTAAAATAATAAACCTCTGTTTGAAAGCAGCAATTAATTCATCGAGCCGTGCCAATCAGCTTGAATTAGGCTAGATAGTTATAAGACAAAGGCGGCGCCAGGGCCGCCCACGCAGGGAGGTGGCAAAGGGAGCAATTTTCTCCGCGACCCCAGTTCAAGGAAGACAGGCAAATACAAATTTGCAAGGCGATAAATATTTTGTCGACGGAGGGGGGGGGGTAATTGTGGTTCACCGGGGGCCCAACGTTACAATTGGCCCTGGGGCACCATATTTCACTGAACTGGTTTGGGCTGCGCCCAGTATTTCTCCGACGGGGGGAATCATCACTGCTCTCTTTTGATCTTTGTCAATTGGCATTAAAACCGCAAGAACTACCAACAAGTGACCAGGGCCGGATTAACGTCGCGCAAGGCCCGTGGCATTTACCGTATTTGACACGTGGTTAATCCGGCGTTAAACAAGCAACAAGCTTTCATTTTCTTTAAACGCGACGTGTGGGGAGACAATAATAATTTGTGATGTCGCACTGGGCCAACATATTTCAATGCTGTATTTTTGGGTACTAGTACTTGTGAAATATAATAAGATCAATAGACATTAGTGTATCAAAATAAAGTAATTTTACTGATTATTTTAACTGTGCATCAAAGTAAACACACATTATTCTAAACTACAGTATTTGCTATATGCCTATAATTTGAGTTTGAGGTGGTAGAATATACAATAAAATAACAAACCTTGTATGGATAAATGTTCATTTCACACGCACGCTATTAACAGCTGCTTAATAATTAACTTATGTATTCGTAAACATTTATACTCGATAGTCGATATGTAAATACTAAATGGTACATTATATGGATCAATGCAAACTGGAACAAAACAACAATTTCTAATTTTGGGAAATTTAGTAACAAATATAAAATCACTAAACAGCTCATCGATTTGTATGTTTGCGCTATTAAAAGTAGACAATATTGAACAATGATCTGAAGTTGTCACGCAACTGACAACAATATTATATTTCAAAATACCTGTATATGATGATATTTTACAAATATCTCTGGATTTTTGGACCAATTTTAAACTAAGCAAGGCAAAAAGTCTCCATTCAAGAATATATCTTCTTCTCAAAAGGTAAAATACTTAAAATACTCGATTAAATTGTTTACTTTGACGGTATGTAAATTAACAGCGTTTGACTTACAAGACGTCAAAAACGGACGATTTCAACGTGCTGTCGTTTATCGCGTATTCATTTGCCAAAAGAAGTATTTACGTCAATTGAAAGCTTGCTTATTAAAGAGCCAACTAGTAGAAGCATGATGGATTTGGAGCTTTATCGCATGGTGAAAATCGATTTTGTTAAGAGGGTATCGTAAATGAAGTAAGATAGTGTGCTCCAAAACTACAATTATATCTATTCCTAAAAGTAACTCAGATTTCCTGTAAGTCATGTATACCGTCCTTTGAATAACCGAAAACAAGATTTTTAGGGTTTTAGATCGATTAGAAACGGTTGTCGTCATGAAATTTACCTGTAAAATCAGCACATATTTTCCCAGAAAAAATGGCGATTTAGGGTGGTCGTGTTAAAACGGCATTTTCTCAAAGTTAAAAAAGCATTTGACCTAAAAAAATATATGGTGTATTTTCCAATATAATAAGGTATATCTGGGCAAAATTTGAGCAAAATCGATTTTTCTGTCGTGGCCGTGCAATGTCTCACGGTCAACTTGATCATTTTGAGAAGAGAGAAAATGCAAAAGCTTGGCTAGAGGGCAAGACACTTATCATGTGTGCAAGACAAGTGCTTTCGGCATGGGGATTGACAAGTGTGATGTACGGTTTGTAATCCATATCATCTTGCCCAGATCAATGGAAGACTACTATCAGGAAGCTGGTAGAGCAGGACGTGATGGCAACCCATCCACGTGCATTATCATGTTTAGGTTATGGATAGAAACAAACTTCTCCTCACAATATCACCTCAAACAGCTGATGATCAAAAAGATTACTTGAGAAGCTCAGTTAATGCAATCATTTCCTACTGCATGTCTTCAATCTGTAGACGACAATATATCTTGGAACATTTTGGCGAAGTGTCTGAAGTTGACTGTAAGAATACTTGTGACAATTGCACAAATCCTATTCCTGCTCTCAGAGATTACACAAACGAGGCAAAATTAATGTGCAAATGCATTCAAGAAATGCAGACAATGACACCCGTTATTAGTATAAAACAATATACATATACATAAAATATACATTCAAGGGCTCCAAATCAAAGAGAGAAGTTGAAAGTAAAGGCTTTCACCAAATTTCTCACTATAGAGCTGGTAAAAACGTTTTCAAGAATGATGCAGAAGCAAGAACTTTCATTCAACACTTGGTGATTTTGGAGGTGCTGAATGAGAGTGACCGTGTTGTAAATGGTCATCAGACAACATCTGTTGTTGTTTTAGGACCAAAAGCAGTAGATCTGAAGGAAGGAAGAAACATATTTGGATTAACTTGCAGATAATTAAGACTAACTCCTTTGTAATCTACTGATCCACATTCACAAGTGAAACAAATCACAAAAACATTAATGCCAATGCATTGAAAATTAGCTTTAAATTGACATTTGGTGTGACTATAATTTAAATGAGACGAAATTCACTCATTTGATATGGGTAAAATATGGACATGTTAGGATAGTTAATCTATACTAATATTATTTTTTGTACAATTTAGCTCTATCCAATAGGAAAATGATGTGCTGAGTGGTTATATTACTACCTTAAAAAGTAAGCAGAAACTCGACGTTTCAAGCGAAGGCCCTTTTGATATTTACATCACACACGTCGCTTTGCCTTGCTGTCGCTAATAAAAGCAATTGGCTCATGATTCATGAGTGAGAGGCTACCAGGCCAAATGGTGTAGTTAGCAGTAGCCATATGTATTACTACTGTACATCCGTGGTTGCACCCACTATATCAAATACTTAATTGTTTTTAAGATTGAGCAATCAACAATTTTGAGTTTGTGAAAAACGCCTCGTACAGTATATTCATTACCTTCTCTAAGCTGAAGGACGTTATATGCTTTCACTATACTAAATTGCATGTCTAAACAGAATAACTATAATGAATTAGGATTTTCTTTATATATAATTGTTCACAATTCCATGTGCAGTAGACACGAAAATAATACTTTAAAGCCTTACAATTAATGAAAAGGGATCAATTCTCAAATTTGGAACTCGAGTGAGATCTCTTCAGCAGGGACTGGGCAAGGTGCATTCCCAGAGGTTTGCATTTTCCGACTGCTTTCTTGTTTGGCAGAGCTTTCGACCGTAAGCCCAAAACAAGCCCTTGACAAAAATGAAACGAATAGGCATTATTAGTATGTATGTCATTTGCACCGATGAAGATAGGAGCTTGGGGTTTTTCCACACACCGTATAATAATAAAGGTAATGTTGTTATACAGTATCACACTATTAAAGTATGACGTTTACTGTTTCAATGCAATTCATGCTCCATATCAGGCTCAGACCCAATGCTCTCGGATGACCGGTAAGGTGCAGATATTCTTTGAAAAGAGAATTGTCGGAATGATGGAAAACACTCGTGCAATTTTCCTTCAAACTTTTCTCTGACTTTGTCTTCCCCTTTTTTCTTTTACCTGCATTAGCATTTTTGGTACATGCTTTTGGATAGCCGGGCCTTTCAATGGGTACTTGTTTGGCACATCGCTTCCACTGAGTTCAAAAAAGCCATTCTGCACACAGAACCACATACCTTTTACTTGGTCTGGGAACGAACTTTGCTCAGTATGCTTAGTGGTTGGATGTATATTGAATGCTTGCCGACTGGCATAAGCATTCCGAGTTGAGCCAAGTATATCAAGGTTTCCCATTAGCCGTTGACACATCTGAACTGATGTATGACCTAAAAGCAAAATACAAAAATACCTTAATATTACAAAATAGTATATTCAAAAGACAACGAAAAAAATTCGTTATTTCGCTCCAAGTACATATGTGGCCGGGATTTGCGAAAGATTGAAATAACTGACATTGCTGCTTATCCCAACAATGCCAGAAGGGAAAACTATCCTTATTCATACTTAATATCGCATTTTTATTTTGTAAAAAGATCGCGAAATTAAAGCGTCGCGAAGAAACTTCTTTTGAATTTTGTCATTTTCAACATTTTTACATTATTCCTTGCCGAAATTGCAAAAATAAAGCCTCAACAAGTACTGTCTCGAAAAAATTGCACGCAATAATTACGAATAAAGTATACTAAAATACATACAAATACCTGTTGCATATGTTTTTAATGGCCTGACTATGTAAGTTTCAACATATTCATCAAGGTCCACATTGTGACCAGCTTTCCCACTAACCTTAACAGTTGAATTATTCTTGAACATCTCTCGAAATGCAAGAGGCCATAAACACCGTAAAATTTACTACGTGCACAAAAGCTTCAGTCAAGTAGTTTCTAAATCCTAACTGGGCGAAAATCAGTAACAAAATTACCCAAACGATTTCTTATAGCTGACCATCACCATTCTTTCCAGCCGTAATGAACATCTCTAAAAGCGGGCCAAAGAGAGTAAATAATTGCTGGTTGTATTTGTGTTTAGCACTACTTTCTGCACTTTCAGACAACCAGTTCTTGAAATTTCGGAGTACAATACAATTGTGATCACCAAACTTATGCAAAGATTTCAGTAAATCCTCACTATTAGGAAAGTCCACTGATTTATGAAATTCTGCTACTGCAGCCATTCCATATGCTCTGCTTCCATCACGAACACTTTCCTTGATTCTGTTAAGATTTTGTTCCTGAAATTTCCGTTTCTTAAACGTCTCCTTCGTTGGCTTTGGTCTTTTCATTACATCATTCACAACTTTATGGAAGCCTCCAACACCCATAGCTTTAAAAGCAGCCTCACAAAGATAACCTTTGGCGTGCATGTCACCGGGTACTTCCATTGACCAGCCATAAGTTGAAGAATCTCTGTTTTTGACACTCCGATTGTTTTTACATGTGCCAACATCACCAACAACCGCGGTTGGAAACTCTTTGCATGTAGAACGCTTGTATACAAAAGGACGTGATACGTCACTGGTGCTACGACTGCGCTCTGTATCATGTGCCATTTCCGATTGATCTGCTGTCGGAGAGTCCGTATTTCCACTTTGCATTGCTATCACAACTGAACTGTCGATACTAAGAGAGTGTTTGTTAAATAGATCAACTATATCTGAACAATTCATCGCCACTGCCATATCAAGCGGTCTGGGGAAATTGCCAAACATCCCACCAGTGTATTCGGCGAAATTGTTTAGCAAAAGCTCACAAAGAGTAGCATCAGTATTTAGCACAGCAATACATAATGGAGTGCACCGCATCCTTCCTTTGAATTTGGATTAATACCACTGGATATTAAAATATTTGCAAGAGCATGATTTCGCTTTTCGACCACCTCATGTAATACAGTTCTTCCATATTGATCCAGGGTACATTCTAATTTTTTTCTTGATGTTGAAATTTCTTGTATCAGACCGTCAAGTAAGCTTTCATCACTTGAGCTTGTGATATCTTGTACTGCAGCAGCAAGCTTATTGAAAAATCCTTTGAATTCGTCGTCAGCTTCTGGCTGTTTGGTACAAGCAATTAATTTGTCAGAGTCACTTTCACTAGATTGGTCTCTCTCTGTACTTTGAAGAGGAAAATAATCTATTTCGTCCTTGTCAGTCAATAACATCTGTCTTTCCATTTGTGCCATTAAGTTGCGGTGCTCTTCGAGAGACTTGGTGAAAATGTATCTTTTTCGAGCAGTCTTTATATCAAATTCCTTTTTGGTTCTATCAAACTCTATATAAATTCTAGGATCTTTCGCACAAGGTAAACTAAATTCTTTGCCAAATTCTTCAAGTACAGCCACCGTGCCAGTCAGTGTGGAATTATCTTCAAGTGAAAGTGGCAACATCTGTTTTATCTGTTGATTGCATGTTTTTGCAAAATTCGGATACTGGTGATATTTTTATATTGTATTTTGCTGGTGTATTTGGGTCTTCAAATTTGGTATCGCGAAGCCATGTACTTATATCAACGTCATTCATTTCTTCAAAAGGCTTTGGTGGGGCTGGTATGTAATTCAGGAATGAATTTAACAATTGAAGGTAGTAGTGATCACACCACTTTTCCCACAATATCTTGTGATCTGGCATGGAATCTACAGAGAAAAAACTGGTATTACAGGACTATGTAAAGCCCAATGCATGTTATGTTTGTTACAAACTCATTTTAAGACTCCGCAAAATAGAAATGTTATCTGCTGATACTTTAGATTATCTACGACAAAAACAGTGAACAGGTATTGCATAATTTGGAATTTTAACACAAGTTACATATGATTTTGTCACCACTGACAGTGCTTTTACCATCAACTACAAAACATCTACTATATGAAGGCATTGAAATACTTAATGGCTAATGAACAGGGCTTGAAATAACAGCCGATCAATGTTCGGTAAGAAATTGCTTATGATCAGCGGAAAAGCAGTATTTCCGACCTGAAAAAGCAGGGAAAGTCATGACTGCGGATCACCATGATCGGGAACTTTGGGTGCGTTATTTCAAGCCCTGAATAAATGACAAAGAGTAGTATTCTAGAGTAGTATTTCTTTAATAGGTCTTTTATAAGCAAGGAATTTGACCAAATCTTACCCGAAAGTAAGTCATTAGCAGTCAAGGAAGTTATTTCTATTTGGGACCGGGTTGTGTTTTCTTTACAGGAGAACAAATCTCCAATTATAATAGTTTTGTTTGTGGAAACACCACGTAAATTTATTACTGCAAAGCTTTCAATCCGTAAGCCCGGATCTTCATCAGTGCTAATAATATGATCTATGAAATCTCCAATTTCTGACAGATCTGGTACAATCGCTGCCCAACCAGTGAAGTTCCACATTTTTGGACCAAGGTCTGTGAAAAGATGGTCGTGACGCTTCCTTCTGCGGTATAGATTGATGTTATCCATTAGCAAAATTACAGGGGTAAAATCATCACATCTTTTTTTCAATTGATGTCTTCAGATGTGCCAAACATTCATCAAGAACATTAGTACTAATGAAAATGACAAGGATTAAAAAACTCATTAATAATTCATGAAGAAAACACAAAGAAAAATCATAAGCATGTCGTATCTGTATATGTGATACAGATTCATGTTGATTTACATAAACTTTAACTTGATTTTCTTGGCTTAGACAATGTTTATTTTTAAAATTACTTCGCCAATGAACTCATAAGATGAGTCGTTTTTTAAGCCATTTCGTGTCCGTATTGTATCGGATATACAAACTCTCACCTTCGGCTTGAGTTTGTATATGATACAACACGGCCGCTCATGTTGTAAACATTACTTATAATGTACTTGTGATATAAATTTTAGAACCAGAAACAAAGAGTTTTGCCCAGCCTCCTCCACTGTCTGCAGTATGTGTGTGGGGTCTACATTCCCGCCCATGAGTGTTTGAATCGCAAGACTTTCACAAGCTAGGGAAGTGGCTGTTTCGCTTATACAGTACGTCAGTCCAATTGATGCCAAGGTTTTCAGTAAAGTTTAGAAAACATTATATCCAATTTACAGCTCGAACGGGCAAACCGAGGCCGCTTTTGCATATTTTTTATGTTTTCAAACTAACCAAAACCAATCACCAGCGGGTTATTTTGACTAAACATTTTCTGGTTGTGAACTTATGACATACAGTATCCATATAGGTCTAAATAACCCGCTGCTGAGTTGGTTTTGGCTTAGTTTGAAAGCAGTATAAATACGCAAAAGTGGCCTTGGTTTGCCTGTTCGTAACTGAAAGAGTCTCCCCTTGATAAGCAAAATGAGCGCAAAACAAAAAGACAGGGCACACTGGGGCACATTGTCACTTAATGGTTAAACAGCATGCAGATAATTTCACTTCCAAATAGATAAATACACAATAATGTTAAATTATCTGAAAGTAGTACATACATTGTGTCCCAGTGAGGTGTTAATCCAATGGCATTCAACATGTTAATGAATTGTTTACCAGCTCCATAAGTGATACACAACAAGCCAAATAGTAGTCGAACATCATTTCCAATTTTCTGATTTCGAACACTAAGCAATAACGTCAGGGCATTAATACCACATGTCATCTTGTATTTGGGCGACTTATGAACTCTGTGGCACATATCAGAAACCAAGAAAATGTGTATTACACTATATATTAATGGACAAGTGTCTTCAAAATTTTCTAATAAACTGGGGAAGACTCTTTCATTAATCACATGCTGAATATCACAATCTTTCCGAAGTGCTATACAGCAAAGACGTTCCAATTCCTTGATTTCTTTCTTAAGTTGTGCTTTTTGTGAATCACCGACACGGTCTTCTGCATTTTCTTGTTTTAGTGTTTTATTCTATGAGTCATAACACTGTATCTAGGGATCACATGAGATAGCTTCTACATATGATAATGAGAATGGAGATTACCATATGCTAATCAGAAAGAATACAAGTAAAAATACCCAAGAGACGTGTAGCAGAAGAAAACTAAGACCAGAAATAGTGCAGGACAAACATTTATTCTCTTTTTAACTAACAAAACCAATAAAACTCAACATTTTAAATGTTCGTTTAAAATAAATCACTTGCACAGGCTTGTGTTGTTCATGTTTTTTTCTCGTCTGTTCTATTCCCCTGCTCTGGACAGCAACAGGTTCATCCTAGTAATTTTCAGGCTCTGAGCTTTTCTCAAGATTCGCTAGGCTAATCTTGTTGTGATAACAGTCCTCCGGGGTTGCCTTTTTAGTGTATTTCATCTTAGACTGCATGCAGTATTGCAGCAGACATGGACGTTGATACTGCTTCACAGACTCGTGCTTCCTTTTGGATACTCTTATTAATTTAAGATCTGCTGCATGATTAATGATGGGTGTCTTGAATTTTTACTTTTTGCCTTGGGTTTGCAATGCAGACAGAGCTGGTATTCTGAATGACGAAATTGAGAATTTCGGACCAATTGCCGGTGGACTCCTTATATGCTTTGAGAACTAGCTGTTTTTCTTCGTCCGTGATAGCACATCTGGTTTTCCGTACGACTTAATTCTGCTGCAAAGTAAACAGTTAAACATAATAAAACATTATATGCAAAATGACGACGGGTTTTACCAATACTAATACAGAATATGACTTATCACCACTACTTTGTGAAAATAAATCATTTTCCGAAGATTCTGCTTCTGTGTCACCATGAAATGTTGCCATTGCGAATTAAAATACGGAATGATTACAAGAAACAATGAAAATAATCGCGTTATCGCATTAAGTAAAGTTAACAGCAAATCTTAAACTGAAGCTTTCAACTACATAAAATATGTGATATGACCATTACATTATAACAACATGCTTGCAAGGTCGATACAATTCCCAATGCTAAGCTTATTGTTAGAATAATGTATTTTAAATGCATTCATGTCCCACATCGGCATATAGCTATTTTCTTTGACTTTGTTTTCATGACAAGTGCGCCTGTTGAGAAGCTAAAAATCTGGCTTTGCACAAAAGCAATGCACATGCATGATGCATGAAAGAATCCACCAGGTGATCGCAGGTGATTTTGAGACGCTGAATGACATTAATCAACTTGAACTAGAAAGTAATTTAAACGAACATGTTAACGTTGAGTTTTATGGTTTTGTTAGTTCAAAAGCGAATAAATGTTTGTCTTGCACTATTTCTTGCCTTTGTTTTCTTCTGCTGCACGTCTCTTGGGTATTTTTACTTGTATTCTTTCTGATTATCATATGTGATCTCCTTTCTCATTATCATATGTAGAATAGTGTGCTTATGCTAAAAATCTCTATTACTGTCTATCCAGCTTCTCTAGTTGATGCCCTATAATAAAATAGGGTTGGGAATGTTGGGAATCCAACAGGGCGGGCATGTGATCCCTAGATGCAGTGTTATGACTCATAGAATTCCAATCAAACTTCAACTTCCAGGTAAGTCTTGTTTAATTTTCAATTCTATTTCGTCATCATTGCATCCGGGATACCATGAGATTTCAAAGCCAACATTCACATGAGAGACAATAGCAACAGTCTTTAATATAACAAATCCCCCAATAACATATCAACAATTAATGTGGAGACAACTCCAACATTGAGAAGAATATATAATACCTGTTTCACTCATTTAGAGCTCAGAACAGCAGTAGCAAATGTTTGTTCATTGCTGACAATGTGTTTATGATAAAACTTATCAAACATTCGCGATGAGGACCACCCTGCCTTATTGAGGATGTCCTAAATAGGAACTGAGGCTGTTTTAGCCTTTGAAGTCGCAGCAGCTCTGGTACTGTGTGAATTAAAAATCTGAGTATTGATTCCAGCATTTGTCATGGTTTGACGTATCCATCTAGATATAGTGTCTCTCGAAATTCGATGATGTGGTTTCATATAGTTGATGAAAAGTTTTGTTTCGTTCCCTCTAAGTGGTTTTTCATTTCATTTATGTATGTTCACATGATTAAAAACACACAATGTTTCATCAGCAGGAAAAGCATGCAGAACAATTGAAGGTGGTGTGTACCCTGGTCGACTTTGCTTCACATGTTCTGGTAACAAAAACTCAAATGAGGATTCATTCTGTTTCATAAGTGTTATATCAAGCATGTGTAGGCTTTGCCCTCTTTGGGCAGAAACCAGAGCAACCAACATAAGCAATTTCAATGAAAGGGTCTTAAGATCCAGGTTGTTAGCAGTTCCAAGAGAAGATAAGTATGTTAGTACTGGTTGTACATCCCAAGTAGTTTGATACTTTGACCTTGGAGGTTTGGACCAGTAGATGCCTTTCATGAATCGTGAAATAATCGGATGGCTTCCTATGGTAGTGGTCCTTTGAGGTAGTATAATGGCTGAAATTGCACTTCTGGTCGTGTTTATTGTTGTGTATTCGAGATCTTGGTTATGAAGGTGTACCAAGATGCATAGCACAATGTGACGCATAGCACAATGTACGGTTGGTATTGTTTCTGGGTACCAGCAGACCATGACTGGAGGATGATGGCAGTAGCGTCATTTGAAATTCCTCTATGTTGGAAGCTTTGCCAGAGACTTTGCAAGCCATTAGACATAGTTGATGTCGCAGCGGGTGAAGATCCCCATTGTGGGGCTGTGTCAACAGTGAGTTTGATTGAGGCAGAATGAGCGGTTTGTCCATGAGCAGGTTCAGTATCCCTGTGAACCAGGGTTGCATTGTCCAGATGGGTACTATTAACACTCCTGTTGCTTTGTTTTGTGTTATTTTCTGGAGACATGTTGCTATGATACTGAAAGGTGGGAAAGCATAAAATAAATATAGTCCCCAATCCATATAAAAAGCATCAATAAATTTGGCATCAGGGTCTGGTCGCCAAGAGACATAGCAAGGTACTTTATAGTTAAGATGTGAAGCAAATAAGTCTATATCAAAACTTCCCCATCTCCTTGCAATGTCTGCAAACACTGGGAGGGAAAGAGACCACTCGGTTGAAAGGTTAACCCATTCAGTCGCATTGCACCCAGATGCACCCTACTTTAGTATTTTACTCTGTCTAACGCCAGACAATTTTACTCTGTCTAACGCCAGACGATTTTACTCTGTCTAACGCCAGACGATTTTACTCTGTCTAACGCCAGACGATTTTACTCGTCAAGGGGAGAGCGCTGGCACTTAATGGGTTAACTGGCCTATCTGCCCATGTGTCTAGTTAACCCATTGAGTCGCATTGCACCCTAATGCACCCTACTTTAGTATTTTACTCTGTCTAACGCCAGAGTATTTTACTCTGTCTAACGCCAGGAGATTTTACTCGTCAAGGGGAGAGCGCTGGCGCTTAATGGGTTAAATACCCTTGATTCTGCATCTGCCTCCACATTCTGGGACCCTGGGATGTGATATGCACTAAGCCATACGTCTTGGGCTAAACACCATTCCCAAATCTGTTTTGCCAAATTGTCACATTCCTTAGATTTTATGCCCCCCATTGCATTGATGTAGGCAATTGCTGTGGTATTATCACATTGAACTCTAACATGCTGTTTGGAAACATGTTGTTTGGAAACATGTTTGCAGAGGGATCTTAATCCCAGTAAACAGCTCGCATCTCTAAACAATTGATGTGGTATTGCTGTTCTGTCTGGTCCCATGGATCACCTGTTCTGGCATCACCCAAAACAGCACCCCAACCTAGGGTGGAAGAATCAGTGGTAAGAATTACTGTAGGAGTGCTCTGCAAAACAGAGTCAATATTATTCACCCACCACATGAGTTCTAAATTAGACTGGTGGGAAAGGGTCATAGGTGAATCAAAGTTGCCTTTATGGCACATAGCGCCGAAATTTTATCCCTTTCTAGGTTTCTATAATGCAGAGGTCCGAACTGTACTGCTGCTGGAAGACTGGAGATCAGCGGGCCTATTACTCGAGCAACCTCCCTTATGGTAGGTTTATGTTTATTTAATAAGTTATTGAAAAAAGATTTGCCCTTGGTGATTTTCCTAGGTATAAGCCTCACTGTCATAGCCAGGCTATTAATCACAAATCCAAGGAATTGAATAGCTTGTACTGGATGCAAAACTGATTTCTCGGGGTGTATGACAAACCACAATTGTTGGAACAAGTTTGTAGAATCTACAATATTGTTTTTACAAGCTTCATGGTCGTAGCCTAGCAATAAGGAATCATCAATGTGACCCATACAAGTGTGTCCTAAACCTCTCAAATGAGAGTACACAGCCTTTAAGATTTTTGTAAAAACCCTAGGGCTCAAGAAATGGGCATTAGGGAGACAAGTGAATTGGTAAAAGGTTCCTTTCCATTCGAACATAAGGAATTTCCTATCCTCATCCGCAACTGGTATGGAATAGTAGGCGTCCTTAAGGTCAATTGATGCCATGAAACATCCAGGTCGGACAAGTTTCATGGCAGTTTGAAATGTATCCATTTTAAAATGGTTCTAATCCACAAACTCATTGAATGGTTTGAGGTTCAGTATCATCCTGTGTGAACCATCCTTTTTAGGCTGAATGAAAATGGTGCATACAAAACTTTCTGGAGTCACACAAGCATGTTCAATAACACGTTTTGCCAAATATTTCAAGATTTCTGAATCTATTATTTGTGTTTCCTCTGCAGAAAATCTGATTTGGTAAGGCCTTTGTGTTTGTATAGGGAAATCCCCCTCAAATTCAATGTGATAATGCTTTACAGCATTTAAAATGATTGGGTCACTAGTCAGTATGGCCCAATTCTGTATAAAGTGTCTCACTTGACCAGCTTGAAAGGACAAGTGTGATTTGTGTAATGCACTAGTTGCTATATTAGCCAAATCATTAGTGTTGGAATAGTTAAATATTACCTACTGGGATTTGTTGTTGTGGTTGTTCTGCCTTCTAGGCTCCATCGTTGCTTGGCTGGTCGCCCGACTGTGTCCTAAAAAAGGATGCCCTGTAGTTGTACGACTTGTTTCCAGGTTGGCAAGTCTGGCCAAAACTGGTTGTCGGTTTATCATATGGTTTGAACCGGTAGCCTCGATTTTTCATAACCTTTGCAGAAGACACAGTTTTCTGCATTTGCTGGCCAGCCCTTTTGGCTTCCGACATTCCCTTAAGGTGCTTGGAGAGGTCATCCCCAAATAGCTTGGTGGTGGGTTTAATATCCTCTTTACACAGTCATGTGTAGGGAGGGTTCAAATCAGATTTGATGAACTCTTGCCTCTTCATGATTAAGTTCCAGTTTGCATTTCCTAGTAGGACAATGCCATCCATAAGTTGTTGCAAGACATCACAAATGTTGGTGTTTTTGTTATTTTTAACATCCTTTAACAGCCTATTGGCCAGGATAGTTAGAGTTGACAACTCTTGCATAAAGGGCCCTTGAACTTTCTGAAATCCAAGGTCAACTGTTCTGCTTTTCTTCGACAACAAGTCCCATATTTCCTCATTAACCATTACGGTTATGAGGTGTTGGCAATTATCTGGTGGTGGGTATTTCTCACCCGTCTCTTTCAGCATGTCGCTGGAGAGTTCTCCTGTAAGACTTGTTCAATAAAGGAGGCAATTTTAGTCTCCACAGATGGGGACTGTTTCGGGTTCGCTAAGTAAGCCTGAGTCAGGCTATCAATTATGTCATTGTTTACCACTGCGTCAGGGCTAGACCTTGGGGCCTCGTGCTCTGTGCTCGAGTTGAGCAAGTTAGCAACGATTGAGCTGACATTTAGGTCGTATTCTGTGCCGTTGCCGCTTCGCTTGTCTTGATCTGTTGCATCAGGTTGAAGCAGGAAGTCTTCTCTGATAGAGTTCCTTCAGAGTTGATTGAAGTCCTTGTACTATTCCCGCCATTTTATCTTCGCTAGACTGTGCTTCAAGACCTTCGGCTTCGTCACTCAGCTGATGGAATTCATCTTCGTCACTCATTTTGTTGCCTTGACATTCTTGTGAGTTGATTTATGCAAGATTAGCCACCAACACTTAGGTGGTGAAATGGAAGAAAAAACCAAAAAACGATATAACCATGAAAAAGAGCTTCTTCCTGACAGCATTTTTGTGTCGCACTGACGGCGCATGCGTGCTTGCTATCTCATGGGATCCTGGATGCAGTGATGACGAAATAGAATTTCAATTATATCTGACCCAATGTCTTGATCTTGTTTTGATCATCAATTTTCTGTAGGAAAATCTGCAAGTACTTGCCACACACTTTTCCTATCTCGTCCCTTGGTCATTTCATTTATTTTTAAATTAAACTCGCGAAATCTCATTTTAGAACTGGAAAATCGTTGTCTGATTGCTGCACTGCCATTCATATTAGGCAAGAAAAAGAACATATCGACATCTGTAGATGATTTGTGTTGGAAAATTGTGGATGTAAGTATTATTTACTGTTTAATTAATAGTGTATTAATTTAAGCTCCATTTACCCTATGGAGCACTGACCAATGACTGTGCTCTTTGTTAATGTGGCCAATGACGCTGCCCAAAAAAAGGTACTGTGTGGGACAGGATCTGACGTGATTAAGCAACTTGTCTTGTGCATTTTTTATTAATACTTCTTCTTAACCTTGTAATATCCTATACTAATCTATTTTTAGACAGAATGCGAAACCAACATGATGAAAGAGATTGAACAAAGTTCCACACCCAGATTGGTTTCGTCTGGAACAGCATTAAATGTTAAAGCATTATGTCTGGCTGCCGAAAGCATGGTGGTGTGCAAATTTGGGCCAACCAAATCAATATTGAATGCTGTGGTAATATTCCTTGCCAGTTAGTTACTACAATGTCAATGCGAGCTACCCAAGTGGGTTGTACAAAAACGTCTACATATTCTTAGAGCATGTGCTGCTGAGTAAACCACCTAGTTCAATGCCCATTGTGGTGGACAATTTTCTTTCAGAGATTAATTAGTGACACATCTAGCTTTTTAAGTATATCTCCGTTTTTGTTAAAAAAGTCAGTTGTTGTACTTAGCAGTTATTTTCATATTTTATATTAAAATACTTCAAGTGCCTGTATAGTGGCCCATTGTTATGATTGTAAATTCAATAGATAATTTTAAAATAAAATTATGTTTCACGAACAAAATTAAAAAGAAAAAAAGAAGAAAAAAAATAGTTAAAAAAATAAAAAAAGCAAATAAAAAAACAAATATGCAATTTTCGTTTTCGATTCTAAAATCAAATGTTCTCGAAGTGGCCCATCATTATCATAGACCAGCATGCCTTGCAAACTTTAATGGCAATTTTCAATTGAAATAGTGGAAACACTTGTTTTCACATGCTCATTTACGACAAAATGGCGAAGGTGAACCAGGTTTGGAAAGAATTAAATGCCAAAATGACAGTCAAAAGAACAAGAAATCCTAGCGGATACAATAAACGCCAAAAAGGAACGGCCAGTGAACAGGTAGTTCAAAAACTAACTGCCGAACCTGACAACAAACAAACTTTCCGTCCGGTTCAACCATGTGAGTTCGTCGAGTTTGAATACGACGAGTTGATTTTGAACAATTTGAAGCAAGCACTTTGGTCTTTGGGTAAAGACCTGTGACATGCTGGTCTCGAACAAGGGTCCATCATGCAGAAACATTAACCAGATTCCTCATCAAATATTCAATTAATTTCAATACAATGGACCTCTTGTTCTGTTTACCTAAATGATATTAGGTTATGTACAGCAATACTCTGGTAAACATTTTCAGCCTGTGGAATTATAAGATCTAAATCAGGGGTTAGATCAGCTCAAAGTTGGGGGTAGGGTTTAGGTTATTTCCAGCCAAAATATGTACTATATGAGCCCGTTGTTTTTACCAGCTAGACAACAATACAAACAAAACTGCAGTTATAACATTTTTAATTTCAGATTTGAAAAACAGTTGCATTCAACACAGTTACTTCCCTTTTCCCAAATGTAAGGCCTGGCAATGTTGTAACATTATGTTCTAATTGACCAGGTACACTACAGGTTGATATAAATTTATAACTTTAATTAATCATGTACATTTGTTTAGGTATACCTTGTTCGTTTTGTGGTGGATCTTGAACAAGAAGATGAAACAGTAAATCTCTGAAGTAGTGAAAGCGATGAACTTCCTCGTCAAAGATGAAAGCGTGCTAAAAGTGCAGAATGCATTCCATCACCCAAAAAAGTGGAAACACAAAGTCAAAGGTATCCAGCATCTGTTTCCATTGATCAACTTATGAAGGCAGGCAAATTCATCAAGCCAGTCCCCAAGACAAAGACAGTGCTGAATTTAGAGGCTTTTGATGATGTACAGAAGGAGTGGGTAGCTTAAAAACTGGTTACTGTTTTCATTGATCAGGAGAAATTTGCTTCAGGTGCATTTCGAGATGCCTTTAAAGGGATGCCAGAAGGTGGTGCCAGTCAAAAGAAATGGGTTATCAAAAAATATAACGAGAAAGCCAGGAACCACAATTGTAACAACACTTTCTTCAACAGTTGAGATTCATGCTAGGAAGCAAGTCCAAATGCATTCAGTTGCCAGACACCTAACAAAGCAGTTTACCTTGAAAGTTCCTAAATCATTTGGCAAGTCATTTTCATATAACAAGGTATTTTTTGCCATGTATGATGGGCTACCTGTTACAGTGGAAGAGTTTGTACCAGGTGCCTTTACCAAATATGTTAACAATGATGGACAGTGCATCCAATCAAGTGAAGCCAGTGAAAGTGTTGAGGAAATCTTTCAAAAAGCTCAAGCACTGGTTCACTATACATATGTGGTCAGCAGGCAGAAATTGATGTTATTACATATCCAAGGATCTGAATATTCCCTATATGATCCAGAAATCGCAACTAAAGATTTCTCTGACATAGACGAGGAAGTGTATTTTTGCTGTGGAAATCTTTCATCAATCAGCATTGACAATTTTTTTGATCAGCACACATGTAGTACATGATGTTTGTGGTGTTACTCTGAGTGTATATCCACACCGGGAGAGCTTTGAAAATATGCCCGGCCATGGTGGGAAACGAACCTACGACCTTTGGAACACTAGCCCAATGCTCTGCCAACTGAGCTACATGGTCAGGTCGGTTCAAGTAAGTGATATTTTGGAATAGAATCTAGTTCCTTCGATACCAATGTAATCTTGTATATAATGATTTTTTCTGTGCTGGTGTTGTGTACTCAGGTGAATAGGGACTTTAAGATTGCACGAAATGTGCGACGGCAACACTGACCGGAAGTGTTAACTGAACTTAATTTTGCTGACTTTGCAATTTAATGACGTTTCTCGTCGTGTCGACGACGTGAGAACCAGTGTTTTGGCGTTGTGACTGCGACGTGAGAACATCATCACTAAAGATTAAAGTTATATAAAAGGTATTTATGAAAATTTGCGTTCGTTAAGATTATAAAAGGTATTTGTGCACATTTGCGTTATTTTAGATTGCAGAATGACAGTAACATTTTGAAAGAGTACTTGTTAAACTTGTTATTAAATTAATAGTTTGTCGCCATATTGATATTTGCATAATTTGTTTTGTACTATTTAAAAAACGAGCAGGAGTGTTTTATTAGGTTTAAAGGTACCAGCGCGCAGCGCGAGTGGCTTTAGACCTAATAAAACACGACCTGCGAGTTTTTTAAATGGCTTCAAAAACGTATGCATAATAAGTCAAATCTTTATATAAAAATCTTTATATAAAAATCCTTATATAAAAATCTTTATATAAAAATCTTTATATAGTTTTCATAACAATGGTCTTTTGTTAAAGTGTTTTTTAGCTGGTATAAAGACGTATGCACGTGACTAATTTCTTACTCAAGATTGGATAATTGCTTCATGAATTATTAATGAGTTTTTGAAGAATATAAATAAAATGCCTCAGCAACTATGCAAATTTTGCTAATTTAAACTCAAAATAGTTTTGTTGTATGTATTTATATAAATCTACAAATGATTGTGTTATGTTCTAGAAACATGGGGGCATTGGGAGCATGCAAATCTAATAAAAAACTTATAATTATAAACTTGTATTTTTAACATTCTATTTCTTTATGTATGTTTCACTGACCAGCACATAAAAATTACATTTTATCATCTTTTAAAATTTCGCTAAAGACCCATTAAATATTTAGTTGATATAAAGCCTTTCCTATCTGTGACATTAATTTTTAAAACCAATATAAATTGATAGTTTTTTGTTGTTATCAGATGGAGTGGACAATGGAACATAACATAATTTATTGTCGAGATATTCTGTTGGTAAATTCATTCCAAAGCAAGAAGGGATCAGTTGAACGAGGTAGCCTATAGACACAGATTGCTGACAAGATGAATTCTTTGGTGAGCCCTAAGTTTATTGTGACACAAAGATCAGTTCGAGAGCACTTGGCAGTCTTGCAGAAAAAGTACCAAAAGAAAATGAGACAGGAAGAGAAGGCAAGTGGTATCTCTCCAGAGAAAACAGAGCTTGATATCCTACTTGAGGAGAGTATGTAGCTGAGCAGATTGGTGAAGAAGAGCAAGAAGAAGCAAGCCGAATGAATCAAGAAAAAACTGACCAGGAACAAGCAAGAGCATAAAAGAAGAAAAGGAGAAAAAACCGAAAAGGAAACGAAGAAGTGGAGGAGAGATGGTGGATTATTTGAAGAAAAAATTCGTGAGTGAGCAAAAGGTGCGAAAAGAGGAAATGGAAGTCAAATACAAAATGTTAGAATTGGAGGAGAAGAAACACACTGCAAACGTGGCGATGCAAAAGGATACCAGCAAGCAACAAATGAAGATGCTACATGCAATGCAGAACCAGAACATCCAACAGCAACAGCAGCAGCAGTTTCAACAACACATGCAACAAACTGCAAACTTGCAAATGATGCTCATGCAAAACCAGCAGAAACGGCATGTAGTAAAACACTGACTACCGGAACACCGGAACACCGCCGGAACACCACCGGAACACCACCTAACTCTAACCCCAACCCTAACCCCCAATCCTAACCCTAACCCCAACCCTAACCCCCAATCCTAACCCTAACCCCAAACCCTAACCCCAAACAAAATGGTGGTGTTCCGGTGTTCCGGTAGTCAGTGTTTTACTACATGCCAGCAGGAACAGCAACGGGCAATGTTAGAATTTTTTAGTAAACTAACTAACAAGAACTGAACATTAGAAAACAATTTTTGAAAAAAAAACTTTCTAGATTCATATTTGATCTTTTTATGTGACTATATGCAGGTATAGTGCCTGTTATGTACACTGTGTTTATTGCTTGAACATTATAGACATACAA